AACAACAACAACAACAGTCTTGAGGAGAATGGAAATTGTGCTCATGAGAAACCTATACTCGGACTGAGAGGCAGTTGTCAAAACAGAGCAAGGAAACATTACATGGTTCAAAATCAGGAAAGGAGTGCATCAAGGATGTGTACTGTCTCCATACCTTTTCATTCTGTATGCAGAACAGATAATTCGAGAGCCTGGACTTTGGAGGAGGAGTGTGACATCAAGATTGGAGGAAGACGCAACCACCTGCTTTATGCAAATGACATAGCCTTTGCAGAAACTGAGGAGGATCTGAAGCATTTGGTGCAAAAGATCAGGGACTGTAGTTTTCAATATGAATTGAAGCTTAACATCAAGAAGACAAAGAGTCTCACCACTGAGCCGATTGGCATTGTCACGATAGATGGAGAAGAGATTGAGGTTGTTAACAGATTCAGCTTGCTTGGCTCCGCAGTCAATACTCTTGGCACCAGCAGTCAGAAAATCTGAAGACGAATTGCTCTGGGGACATCTGCTTCAGGGACCTCTCCAGAGTGCAGAGGAGCAGTCAGTCTGGAGACCAAGGTGCGCCGGTCCAGGCCATGGTCTTCATGGTTACATGCTGTGCGTCAGAGAGCTGGACAGTGACTGAGAATGACAGAAGAAGAATTAATGCCTCTAACTTGTGATGCTAGAGAAGAGTGTTGAACATATTATGGAGCTCCAGGAGATCTGTTTTTGAGAGGGTGAAACCAAGTCTCTCCTTGGAGGCAAGGATTTGGAAACTCCATTTCACATACTTTGGGCATGTGGCCAAGAGAGACCGATCCTTGGAGAGGACATCATGCATGGAAGGGTGGAGGGACAGCAGAGGAGAGGAAGACTCTGGGTGAGAGGATGAACACAGTAACTGGGGCACCGAACGTAGGTGTGTCAGTGAAGCCGGCTCAGGACAGGGCAGGCTTCAGAGCTGTCGTACACAAGGTCACTATGAGTTGCAGGCAACTTGATGCCTCCTAACAGCACCAGCCACCTGTCTTCGCAGATGGTTGACCAGTTACGTGGTGGGCAGGCTGTTTCCTCCCAGCTCCCATTTCTTCGTTGACCTTGTTTATTTGACTTATCCTTTCCCTCCTTACTGTTCTGAAGAAAGTTAATAGAATATTTTCAAAAAGCATGTTCTCTGCTCACCTCAGTGTGAGAAATGGCAAGCTGATGTTTTTCTTTTTTTGGAAGAAAATATGTATACAGGTTTTCTCAGAGCCTTTATCAGTTATTTTCTTTTTGATTGCAAGGAGGGGATTTGGTACAAAGAGTTTTTGTAAACTCAGTGTGGGGCATCATTTGTTTATCATTGTGCTCTCTTGTTGAGTGCTTCACGGTCTGTCCCTGGGCTCAGCGTGACGAGAACCCTGGGGCTCTGTACTGAAGGCACTGTCACTGCCCTTCGGTCGTGGGGGACCAGATTGCAGTGAGTCACAGTTTTGGGGACGTTGATCTGTTTGGTTTGGGGATTGGACGGGGGCTGTGAGCCTGTGGATGCAGCCGACCTTACGTGGAAGTCACTGTCACAGGTATTATGTCAATTCAGAGAAGCCTGATGCAAGACATTATGCAGTACGATTCATTCAGGACCTCTGGTGTTTTGTGTTACTTGTGGACTGTGTGTGTGTGTGTGTGTGTGTGTGTGTGTGTGTGTGTGTGTGTGAATTTCTTTTTATTCCCTTGTTGTGTACTGTTGAATTGAATCCAACTGGCACAGGAGGAAATTGCCCCTCCTTCTCTAGCAGAGCATCTGGTGGATTTGAACCACACGCTTTGAGGATTGCAATGCAGCTTCTTTGCCATGAGGCCGCCAGAGCTCCGTACTTGTGGACTCTTAACAAAGAAAGTTGGCAGTTCAAATCTCCCAGCTGCTGTGTGAGAAAAAGAGAAGCATTCTGCTCCTGTAAACATTTACAGCCTCAGAAGCCTAAAGAAGGGTGACTACAAGCTGGGGTCTACGTACCGGTAAGATTTTGTAGGGGTATCATGGTGTCGAGGTTGACGACTCTGACTCTGGTCAACAGTTGGAATCCCCCAGCGGCTCTGAGGGAGGACGACATGGCGGTTTTGGTATAAATGTGGCAGTTTTGGACTCTGTGTGACAGGTTCACCCTGTCCTGTGAGCTTGCTCTGTGATGGAATCAGCCTGACGCTGTTGGACGTGTGTGATTGGTGACGAGAGATTCAGGAGCAGGGCGGGCCCGCCAAGCCCCGGGACAGGGACTGGGGAGCAGGGCGGCCGTGCGGCTGGTGGAGCTGCTCTCGAGTGCGGGCTGGTGGGCACGCGCCAGCTTCTTCAGTGTTTCATGCTGTCTCAGCTGCACTCCGCAGTCTTCATGAGCCTTCCATCCTGTCACCCAAAGATGATTTTTTTTTTTTTTAGTGTTTTTATGCGTGAAACAAAAAGATGAGTTTCTGGAATAAATGTCGGGGTGGCCTCTGCTCTGACCCAATCCTCTGGAAGTTAAACCTCTGTAGGAGTTGGTGGTGTGGGCTCGGCACATTCTTCCTGCAACGTCTGAGCCGGCCTCTCCCTGGGCCCCCGCCCCGTGGCCTGTGGAGTAGCTCGCGGGAAGTGGGTGCCCCTTCTCGGCTTAGGGTGGGAACCAGGCTGTGGGAGAACTGACTAATGCCCGGCCGAGCGGGCCACGACCCTGAGGCCCTGTGGGACAGTGGGATAGCCTCCCCAAGGCCAGGTCGGACACAGTCCCTTCTTTGCCTCTTTAAGCATTAATGCCATCGAGGGAGGCCGCCTTGCAGCCCACACAGGACCCATCGTCCCAAACTCTGAAAGGCTGGCCACACGGACACTGTGGTGGGACCTGTGTGGGACGCGTGCTCATGAGCTTGAACTGTTAACAGCCTTGACCTCGGCTTCTCCAACAGGACGTGGGCTACCCAGAGTTCCTCAACGTGCGTCCATACATGTCCCAGAGCAACGGCGAGCCGGTCATGTACGGCCTCTATGCGGTCCTGGTGCACTCTGGCTATAGCTGCCACGCCGGACACTACTACTGCTATGTGAAGGTCAGTCGTGGATGGCCATCCCAGCTGTGGTCAGCAGCCCCCACAGGGTGGGCGGGTGTCTAGGAAGGTGGCTGCTGTGTTCATTCCTGGTGCCCCCTTCGTGCGCGCACTGAGGTCTCACGGTCACACCCCCAGGTCATAAACCCCCCCCCCCCCCCCGGCTCCGTTGTGCCCTGGGGAACCCTGGGTGGGGGGACGCTGTGGAGCACAGATCTGCCCAGGTGTCCTGTTGAGAAGGGAGGTCTGGCGGCCTAGTTCTTGGGGAGTTGACACCACTCACCTGTGGGCAGTGCTTCGCCGACTCACGTCCTCTGAGAGAACGACGGGCGAGCTGCTGTGTGCTTTACAGTCTGGGAAGCCCGGGAGAGCGTCAGCTGGGGGCTGGTCCGACCCCGAGCTAGGCTTGTGCGGTCGCGGGGCATGTGGTTGAGAGCGTGCTGGCTCACTCACCAGTATCCTCACAGCACGGGTGTAAGGCGTGCCGAAGCTCTGTTGACTGTTGTTTTGTTTCCTCCGACGCCCCTGCAGGCAAGCAACGGCCAGTGGTACCAGATGAACGACTCCCTGGTCCACGCCAGCAACATCAAGGTGGTCCTGAACCAGCAGGCCTACGTCCTCTTCTACCTGCGGTGAGAGGCCGACCCTCCCTTCAGGAGGTTGTGGGGAGATGTCGTCGCTTTCTTCTGTGCTGTGTTGCTTTGGTTTGGGGGCTGTGTGACAAAGGAGAGTTGTCCTGTAGGGTTACCCAGGCAGTCGCCGGGTCTGTCCTCCTCACACCTTGGCACGTGTTCCCCCACCAGCTGCTCTGATGGTGGGAGTCTCAGGGTAAGACATGTGCGAAGGGAGACAGGAGGGGCTCCCATTGGCCCAACCTGTGACGCCCCCTGGGTACGAGTGGCAACCCCTCCTGGCATTCTGCACCCTTGCGCCCCGACCATGTGGCCTCGGAGTGGTGGCCAGCCCACCTCCCTTCCTCTGGGGAAGACGATCGAGGTGGGTCGGGAGCTGAGACGCATGGAGGTGAAACGCCTGCTTGCAGGGTGCCCGTTAACTCCTTTGGAAGTCAGGAGGCATTTTTTGCTGTTTCCATACATTTCTGCTGAATTTTGAATTTTTACGCATTGATGGAAACTGCTGAGACTCCAATCTGGCATGAAATAGGCCTTTGCTGTGCTCGGTTCTTTCTGCCTTCCCGCACTGACTCCCGAGATGCCAGGGCAGTGCCACGTTGGTTTGGGGCATAATGAGGCTTGGACGTGTGCTGGGCTAGCTGCACCTCTCTGGGCTCTGTCTCTGCCTGGGCTTCCTCTTTTTTCCATTTTCTAATATAACCATTTCACATACTTGGGGCTAGCTGCTCAAGGACGCTGTTCCTTGGAGAAGGACATCGTGTTTGGAGAGGGAAATGTGGAGGGCCAGCAGAAGAGAGGAAGACTCAGCGTGATGGACTGACAGCTGACCGCAGCAGTGGGCCTCAGAGTGTCAGAGTCTGAGGATGATACGGGATAGGACAGGGTTCAGATCTGGTGATCGGGTCACTGTGAGTCACACTCAGCTCAGTGGCACCTGACGACGCAGCATAATTGTACCCTCAGCCCGTGTCGTTCTCGGCCTCCTTTCTGCGGTGCCTTCCTGCCTCGCCTCTTCTCCTGACAGCTCTCTTCGTTTCCCAGGATTCCAGGCTCCAGGAAGAGTTCTGAGGGCACCATCTCCAAAGCGGCCTCCACCCTCCCCAGCCGCCCTGCCTTGGTCCTGGACCATCTCAAGAAGAGCGTCAGCAACGGGGTGGCTGCCTCCCCGATGGCCGGAAAGGTATTTGCTCAGGAGGTTGGAGCAATGTCACAGACAGACCTCTACGCAGAGCCCTGGGGTTCCAGGTTTAGGTCTCCTCAGGCTGGGGGCCCAGTCCATGATGAGGGTGTCAGGAAGGGCTGACTTGAAACCTGGACATCAGCTGGCGTGAGGTCAGAGAAAGTGGGGAGAAGTGAGGAGACGTCAGATGCTCTGAAAGTCTGCCGCCTGCTGGGCCAGCTTGGTCAGGAGGGGACTTGCTGACTGCCCGTCCTGTGGTGCAGGGACAGGTGCTCCCAGGAGACGCTTCACTTGACACGCAGGGAGGAGGGATGAACTCTGCGAGTGTGGATGCATGTTTTAAAAATACATGCACAACTAAAGGTGCAACTTGTCCACCTGTAAACGAAGTGTGCCCGATCCAGGCCCCGGTCTTTTTCATCACTTGCTGTACATCTGATGGCTGGATGGTGCATAAGGAGGACAGAAGGTTGATGCCTTTGAACTCTGATGTTAGAGAGGAGTCCTGAATACCCCGTGACGGCCAGAAGAACAATAGATGTGCCTTGGAGAAGGTGCAGCCAGAGTGCTCTTCGGAGGCAAAGATGATGAAACTTGTCCTCACATCCTTTGGGCTTCTTGCTAGGAGAGGTTATTCCTTGGAGGGAGACATCCAACTGGGAAAGGTGGGGGATCAGTGAAGGAGAGGGGAGACCCTCAGTGAGGTGGATTGATCCGGTCACTACAGCAGTGGGCTTAAGTGTGTTAGAGATTGTGAGAACGGCCCAGGACAGGCTAGGGCTCAGCTCTGTTGTTTGTAACAGCAAACATACAGCATTACAGTCATTGCCCCTTACAGTTCCGTGACCTTGATGGCATCCTTCAGAGTGTACAAACCGAGTTCACTATATTTTCCCAAATTATCTCCGAGTTGGATCATTATACTATGGTCATGTAAGAGAATGTCCTTGTCCTTGGGAAACACAGAGAAGGGTTCAGGCGTAATGGTTTGTCATGTCATCCACTTAATCGAATGGTCAGGGAAAGTAATAACGTATAAGCAGTGACAGTGTTGCTAGAATGCTCCGTAGAAGAGACATCTTATTCAGAGCCAGTCTCTGGGGAAAGATGGCTTGCTTGGGAAAGGAGGTGACTGCAGTAAAGAGGAGGCCTGTCCGTGACGTGGTCTGATGCATCTGCGGCGTCGAGCTCAGACATCACGGTAACTGAGCAAGACGCGGGACCAGGGAGCATGGAGTGGGGGGGGACCAGGAAGCGTGGGATTCTGTTGAGAACCGTCTCCACGGCACCTCACTGCAGCGTGCAGATACACATCTGCATATAGGGCTATGGAGGAGAGAGTGAGGACGCTTGTTGAAGTGGCCCCTCGTGCCACAGTGGGTTGAGCACTGGGCTGCTCTTGGAAGCTGAGTTGAAGCCTTGGCGACCTGAGGGACAGTCGCCGTGAGCTGAAATCATCTCAAGAACAGTGGGTTTGCTTTGTAATGTGGGTTTAGTTGTATGTGGTGTGGTTTTTTTTTTCCTTTCAGTATGGTAAAGTTTCAGTTGGTAAATGGGCTTGAAGTTATCTTTGTGTGTGTTTAGAACTTTAAGTTAAATCCAAGGATGACTAGTAAACTATAATGTTTTCTTCGTGAAGATACAGTTTATCATTTAGAAATAGTACGACCCCGCTTGTTCTGTTCCTGAGTGACCCTCCTCCTCTAACTTGAAGGAGTGCATGCAGACATCGGTGTTTGGGGCATTTAACAGTCGGCTGAGATCCGAGCCATTTCAGTAAATTGGGTTTACCTTCCAAACAGAAAATACAAATTAAGGTGACTCGCTAGCAATTCTGAATGTTGTAGTTCAAAGATAGCCAAAAAGCCCTGATCAAATGGGGCGAGGGTGGGGGCAGGAGTGCAGAACAGAATTTAAAGTTTCCTTGGACTCTCAGTTTTCTGGAGATGGGGGCTGAAGGAAGTCCTGAACCTGTTACCTTGAGATCATCTTTAAACTTCTCCCTAAAACCTTCTCTACCAACCAAGCAGTAGTTGTTTGGCTTCATTGTAAGACTGTGTTGAGTGGGGTGGTGGTTTCAGGGTCGGTCTGTAGGGATCATACTGATAGCAACAACTCGAGAGACTAGATGAGAAGCTTCCAGGGCACTGAGTATGTTAACGGGCAGAGCAGCTTGAGAAACGAAGGGGAGGCTTGTACGACTCAGAAATGTCATTAATGTCCCTGAATTGTACACGTGGAAACAGTGTGGAATTGGTTCTATGTTGCCTGCAACATCAAAAAAGAAAATCTTTAACAGGGAAAGAAAAGCTAACGTGAGAAGCATTGGAATTGTCAAACACCCAGGTGCCTGTGTCGCATGCACACCTTCAGGTTAGAGATGGAAGGTCGCTCAGAAGCAGAGCGAGTGTGTTTGCTCTGTTTTCCGATGATAAACTATATCATAATACAACACTAGCAGTACTCCGATTAAAACACACGATCACTGTGCAGTTGCTGCTCTCTGTAGCCCAGGCCGGGACATGAGATCACACCCTTAGTAGCTGGTTCGCTTCTGGTGCCCCACAGAGTGTGTCCACAGGGATTCGCCCCTGTAAAGCTGATTGACCCCCATTACCATAGATACCCCATCACAGAACTCATTCCCAAGAACGCTGCAGTTACAAAGTGCAGTACGCTTACCGGCGCAACGATTTGAACCGCTTTGCAGTGCTATGGACAATAGTGAAGACAGAGCCACTGAAAAACGGAGGCAACGAAGAGAAAAAACAAGAAAACAGTGGGTTCTTTGATCTTCTGAAAGAAAAGAGGCTTTGTGGCATAAAATCATGGGAAGAAATACAGAAAAACAAGGCAAGAGTTGGCCAGAATTGACTTTTAAATTTGTGTGCATAGAATGTTACGGATAAACACTTCTGAATACTAGCCAGAGGGTCTAGTATGGGTCGGTTCCCACTCCATGGTACAAAACAACAGAGACAAGACAGAGAACTCACTGCAGGTCAGGCAGCGGCCCCAGTGCGAGCGGCACAGAGGAGCCGCGGAAGAGCCGTGCCGGGGATCCTCCGAGTAGCTGTGCGGAGGAGCCGGCGCCGTGCGGAGGAGCTGGAGAGGTTCTGCAGGGGAAGTGGGTGGAGGGCCACGTCAGCAGATCCTTCAGCATTGACATCATCCTTCCAGGGTGCAGCAGGAAATGCACTTGGCAGTCCGTCACGGGAGGGCTCAGCCTGCAAGTGTCGTGTCTAGAAAATCAAAATGAGGACAAATCACAGAGAACCCTGCCTCTTCTAATTGTCCCTCCAACACGTGTGTTTTCTGCACTCTCTGTGTGCTGGCCACCGTGGTGGTGCAAGGCAGATGCGGTGACAGTATGAACTCGGAAGGGAAGGCTGCGTTCTTTAAACACAGCCAGAGCAGGTGCTGGAAGGAGGGCCGGCTGTAGATGTGGAGAACCCTGAGCTGCATGGATGAGTCCTGAAGTGAAGCACCGACTTCAGAGCCTCCTGTGACGGCACGAGGAGAGCGGGGATGCCTGCGTGTGGGCCAGGGCCGTTCACGAGGAAACCCTGTGTGCAGCTCAGTTGTTCCCACTAGGTGATGGGGACCTGGGGGCCTCACTTTGCTTGACGGTTTTTATGAAATTAATTTGGATGAGACTGTCAGACCTGCTTGGTAGAGGCAGCCCCGCGGGCACTGCCTCTCTGCACACGTGATCTGTGTGGTTTCTAGTCCCACATGTGGTCTATACGGTTCCCAGCCCCGCACGTGATCTGTGCGGTTCCCTGCCCTGATCTGTGAGGTTCCCAGCCCTGCACTTGGTCTGTGAGGTTCCCGGCCCTGCAGGTGCTGTGCCGCCTCACCACATCATTGGTGATCTCCACTCTCTTACTCCACAGCGCCAGGACCCCATGACGTTGAAGAAGCTGCACACGGCAGAGGAGCTCGGCGTGCCCGTGTCCAGGAACAGCTCCACAGCTGCCCTGAAGGCCCAGAACGGGAATGTCTCTGCGAAGCTGCCCCTGGGGTCCCCATCGTCTAGGCTCTCCAAAACACCGGTGTACACACCCACCATTCTAGAGGAGCCTGGAAAGAAGGCCAGAAAGCCCGCCCCCCTGCAGCACTTCTCACTGTCCCCCAAAACCTCCCAGGGGCCGCACAGCACCAGCGACTTGAGCAGCAGCCGATCCGAGGGTCGGAGACCGGGCTCCTGGGACGGCGGGGACACTGTCCTCTCTACCTCACCAAAGCTTCCGGCCGAAGCAGCCGCCAACGGGCACGGCCCAAAGGGGCACGAGGAGAGCCCTGAGCTCTCGGGAAGGGAGTCCAGTGGCTCCAGCCCAGACCACTCGGCGAGGAGCGACACCCCCAAGGTTCCCCAGACCCCCAAGAGCGGAGCCCGTCATCCCGGCAGTCCTCAGGAAGCACACTGTCCTGCCAGTGGCACCCCCAGAGCACCCCGGAATGGAGATGACACCAAAGTGGTGAAGCTGAAGTCCCCCGTCCTGAGCAACACGGCCACCGAGCCTGCAAGCATCATGTCCCCTCCACCGGCCAAAAAGCTGGCGCTGTCCGCTGCTAAGAAGGTGGGTCTGGGAAGAACGCAGCGCGGGTGGGGAGCAGAGGGGGGTTCCTGGCACGGTGGGGGTGGGCTTCTGAGGAAACGCCTGTCATCTGGTCAGTCGAGGACTTGGCTAGGGCAGTGGTGGGACCACAGGGCTCTGTTTTTGGACAAGCGGCCCTCACAGGATGGGAGGCCCAGTGTTAGCAGGACGTGGCCTGTGACGTGGAGGGGGATTAACGGGGGCCTGGAGCGTGGAGGGGTGGGTTTGTTGAGGGGAGCATGAAGTCGCCTGCTGGCAGTAACGAGACAGTAACTCGGGCTGAGGTTTTTGTTGAAATTTCCTTCCCTTTTTCCTTTTTGTTTCTAACAAACCACTTTTCTGATTCTTCTCCTGCCATTCCGCCCCTCCCCCGTTTTCTCCCCTGTCCCCTCCCCCTCCTCTCTGGGTTCGTTTGTTGTTTTGTTTTGTTTTGTTTTGTTGGTTTCCCGCTCTCTCGTGGATGCCCTTCTTAGACCACCAAGTTTTTATTTATGTCAATAACTGCAGGCCCACACCCTGCGGAGGGCGACCAGCACTGACCTCCATCCACCTCCCCACCCACCGTCCTCCGACCTCACCCGCCCCCCGAAAGCCACTCTCCCTGTCGGCGCCGCCACTGGGCCTGCCAGTCAAACCAGGTAAGCCGCAGCCGGCCGGGCTCTCCGAGGGGCTGGTGTGTGCGTGGCCTGGAACGTGGAGACCCTGAGCAGAGAGGGACGGCTGCGGACCCCCACCGCCTCCTCGATGCCTGTCTGGGCACGACCTTCGTCTGTCCGGGAGCTGGGCTCTGTGGGCCGCATCTGTCTGTGCTCTGTCTGCTTGAGCTGAGACCCTGGGTCCCTGAGCGGCACGTGAGTGCTGGGCACCCCTCTGGAGGCGTGGCCTCAGAGCCCACCGAGAGAACAGGGCCGGCTTTCTGTGTCCTCAAGACTCCAGCCTTGGGAACACCATGGGGCAGTCCTGCCTGCACATGCCTAGGGTCCCTGACGAGGATGACCTTCACATCCCCCTGTGCGCCGGGAGCAGCCCGTGCCGCACCCCGCCCCTCCTGTGGTCATGCTTCTTAGTGGGAGTCCTGGGTGACAAGAAGGTCCCTCTCGACTCACAGATGGGCTTTGCTGCCGCTGTCATGCACCCTGTATCTGAGGGTCATCTCTGCTCCTTCGTCCCCTGCACCCCACAAAGTGCGAGGTCTCAGCTACTCCCTGAGCTTGGGCTCCAGAGCGGGGCTGGCCAGACGGACAGTCCTCAGCAGGGTGTCCAGGGCTTGGGGCTTTCTTTGAGGTGCTCAGTGAACAGGGGTGTGGCTCGACCCTTGGCTTGTGGACAGTGACTGAGAAGTGTGGCTTGTGGTGAACTGGGGCTCTTCTTGGACACAGATATGCGCGTGCGCGCGCGCACACACACACACACACACACACACACCCCCGGTGTGGTCCTGGCTGTGGCTGTGTCCTCACCCCCAGCTCATCCTGAGAGCTCCCACTGTCTCTCACGGTTTCATATGTAGCAGCCCCTTAAACACATGAGGGGTTTGAGCGGTATTTGCTCAGCTGCCGTCATGTACGGTCTCTCTTGAGCACATCACAGAGATGAGATGGTCTTGGGGGACAGACCCTGAGGTCGCAGTCTGTGCTGCTGGGGGGATGGTGACTGCATGCTGGGCAGACTCGGCAGCCTCCCCTGCGGAGGTAGGGGGTCCGTTTGGGGGACGGCCTCTGTCCAGGCTCATGGCCAGCAGGCGTGGCTAGGAGCCTGAGCCGATGTGGCGCTCAGCTGTGCAGGTGGTTCTCCGGGTCCTGTCAGAGGGGTCCACTGTGAAGCCATGCACTTGGACACCCCGAGTCCCCGATGGCAGGAGCAGGGCTGTTCCCGGGACCATCTCCCTTAGTGTCTCTTGTTGGTGCTGCTTGTACTGAGGAGTGAAGACACTCTTGTTTGTAACAGACAAGAGTCTAGGGGGCACGTGACTAGGGGTGTCTTCCTGAGACTCCTCAGAGTGGTGGGCTGGGAGGGCGGGCGCCGGGGTTACTCTGCCAAGTAACTGTCCTCACACTGGCTGTCTTTGCAGGGCTGCTACACCTGCTCCCTCGCCATCCAGACGTCCTGGGCCTCCTTTCAGCCCCCACTCCATGTGTCCTTCATTGCCCGCCAGTTCCCAGAGCTGCCCCGTACCCCCTCCTCCCTGGGCTCAGATGAATGGAGCCCCCAAGTCCTCTCCAGACCAGCTGCAGGAAGCCAGCAAGTGCTCCGATGGCTTCTCTAGAAAGAGAAAGAAGCACCGTGTGGGAGAGAAGAGGCCGCGGAGCCCAGAGATGCGTTCCCAGCAGCGCCCTGGGGCCACTCCGCAGCCTGGGGGCCTGCAGCCTGCTGTGGACTCAGCCGGGGTTCCTCGAGTGAAGAAAAGGAGGAAGAGGAGGAAGCACCCGGAGGATGAAGGTGTGTCCCCTCTGCTGGAGGGACCAGCACGGGCACAGGGCCAGAGCCACAGGGTCGGGAAGCAGCGTTGCCTAGAGCTGCCCTCGGACAGCCCAGAGGATGGCGAGGGACAGCAGGCAGTGGGCAGCCAGCAGGGCCGACCGCAGACAGTCTCCCGCTGTACAGACAGCAAGAGGAAGAAGAGGAGGAAGAAAGCAAAGAACCCCCACCAAGTCGAGGGCCACCATCAAGACCCAGCCGCACACAGGTAAGAGCCGGCCCGGGGCAGCGGTGGGCACCTCCCCAGCAGCGGTGCCTCACCTGGTGGGGCCCAAGTGAAGAGTATATCTGACTTCCCTCTGCCCTCCCACCTGGCACGTCCACTGTGGCTTCTCCTTCCACGTGAGCGTGGATTCAGAGTTCATTCTGCGCCCGTAGTCTGTGTCCCGAATTCTTCTTCTCGTTGTTTGTAATACCGTTTCCTTCTCTGGGGACAGTGAGTCGTCTGACCGTTAGAGGGATGGTGGGCGGACAGCAGCCTGCTGGCCTGCCTTTGGAGGGCAGATGGAGCAGAGACCTGGCAGGTGCTGCCGTCACGAGGTGCCCCGGGCCTGTGTGTCCAGGGTGACCTCTGTCGGGGTTCCAGGTGCACTCGTCCATGCTGTCTGTTCTGACCATGTGGCTCTGACCTTGGGAGAACAACACAAGTGTCCAGGCACCTGTCCTGTGCATGTACACTGGGCTTGGGGGGGCAGCCACCAGCCCCTTTGTCCTCTGGCCTCTGAGGGACACTCTTGGACAGTGCTGCGGTCACATAGCCACGGGGTTAGCGGGCCGTCTGTCTATGCTGCCATTGCTGTCCCTCCACTGGGAGGGCTGACCCGGACTCTGTCCTCAGCCACAGCTCCTGCTCAGATGACCCTCAACCTGAGATAACAACCGAATCGCCAAAGAAGAGGAAGCGGAAGAAGAGAAGGCTGGAGTCCCAGCACGAAGTGGGTGAGGAGCACCAGAGCGGCCAGAAGAGCATCGGGTGGTGTGACTCCCCTGTCCCCGAGCCGACAAGTCCCTCGCCATTGGTGAACGGTAGGTGCCCAGGCCGAGGAGGGCACCTGGGAGCAGGCCGGCTGAGCACAGCACTTGGGTGGCGAGGGGCTGCAGGGAAGGGCTGAGGCTAGTGTCCAGGCCCTGGGCAGCCCGTCCATCTGCAGACGTGTCTGTCCTGGGCTGGCCATTTGTGCATTATTTGCACGGTCCACACCACTTAACTCCGGGTGTGAGCGAGTTCACAGGCCGCCTCCGTCAGGGTGCCTCACGTGAGCGTGCTGTCAGCAAGGCCTGTGGAGCTCCAGCTTCACTCTGTCTGTGACGCTTGAACTTGAGGTGGCTGGATCCAGCCGGTTTTGCCCTACCTGTGTGCTGTTGGGGAGCCCTGCAGCCTTGGCTGTCCCAGGCAACCCTGCCTTTTCCAGTGGGGACATGGTGGCAGAAGCCGAGTGTCCAGTGACTTCAGTGGACGGAGGCAGAGAACGGCCAGCAGAGAGCCCGTCCGAGGACAGACAGACCTCACGGGGTGATGGGTGCTTGTGAGCTTGTGTTGTGAGCTGTAGTTGGAACTGACCCTTCTCTGGGTTTTCAGAGTTTAAATCACACGGGAGGAGTTTGCCCATCTTTCTTCTGTGGGGCAGCTGGTGCATTTGAACCACATGCCCTCGGGTTCAGCACAACTGCTGACCAGTGGGCCCTGGAGCTCCCGGTCACAGGCTCTGTGAAGGGAGCGGGGATTTTCCCGTTGAAAGCACTGGTGCCCGGCAGCGCATGCACACATTCCATGACCGGTGTGGAGGTGCCGGGAAGACACCACTCGAGTGACATCAGCAATGCTGGGCTGAACGAGGGGTCAGGCAACAGGGAGGCTGAAACAGTGGCCTGTGGTCAGCAACTCTGGACTGCATGGGACAGGATGGGAGGGGCCCTGCAGAGGGGGCGTCTGCACCACTGGCTGTCAGCGTGAGCACCTGAGCAGAGGGCTGGCTAGGCCGAGAGGTGGGGGAGACACTGGGGTCTTGCACGTGGTTCTGTGTGCTAGGGTTTACAGCCTGTGTTGAGGACCGGGACGGGCCTGAAGTGGCAGGCTGTGGGCAGGCCATGGGAGCAGGCATGGGGGCATCTGCCCAGGCCCTAGCAGGCAGGAAGAGACGAAAACAAGCTGTGTATAGAGAAATAGTACTGTGTGGCCGTTACATGGTAGGTAGGTGAGAGGAGGCAGGGACCCCTGCTCAGGTTGTTGCCAGAGCCCAGACGAGAACTGGCCACATGCCACCAGGTCCTGAGTCCATCCTTAACCAAGGAGTCTGCTGCCGCCTCCATGTCTGATGGGGGAGGTCCGATCCTCTGTCATGTCTGGTGGAGGTGACAGATTCCTCTGGTCTGGGTCTCCACCGCCTTCTCCCTGAGCTCTAGGGTGGGTATGTCCAGTGGGCCTCCTGTTTAGAAAGACTTGACTGATTTCTTGTTTGGCTTCTCACTACATTGGCCTGGACCTCAGCTTTCTCCATCGATGACCCGTTGGGGCCTCTTTGACCCATAGTCCCTGTGGTCAGTGAGGTCTGTGGTTGTGAACAGAGGGATGGGCTGTAAGTGTAAAGGCACACCTCGCTGTTCTGACTGCAGGGCAGACACACGGCCCCCTCGTCTCCTGGAACGCAGAGAGGGGGCCCGACGTGGTCCGGGAGCTGCTGCAGTACTCGAACGATCGAGCGTATGGGAGGAAAGGTGAGGCCCCGGGGCGGGACTCGGGTTTCCTGCTGGAGGGGCGGGGGGCGCAGCACGGGCAGGTCCTGCTGAGCAGCGGCCGAGGATGGAGGCTGGCGCTGGCCAGCGGGAGAGGCTTCTACAGTGGTCGCTGCAGAGAGGTGTTGTACTCGCGGGCCAGCAGGCTCCAGAGAAGGGGGTCCTGGGCCGGGGAGAGCAGCGCATGTCCTGATGGGCTGTCCACCAGGGAGGACATTGGGGTCTCTGGGTGGGGAAACGCCCCCAGCACCTGGAAGGGACGTTTTGGTTTGAAGGTTGTGTCTGTAATTGAGACTACTGCAGGTGAGGATGTGTGTTGAGAGGAGTGGAAGGCCAAGGCCCAGGAGGGTGCGGGGTGCCGTGTCTGTGATAGGGACCGGCTGTTCTTCGCCTCCACAGTGCACCCTGTCCCATCTCACCAGGCTAGAGGGGCCAGTCTAACTCGAGACACCCTGAGGCCCCTGGCATCCCCTGAGCCCCACCACCTGTCTGTTCTGTAGTTCTGACATGGGACGGCGAGGTGTCCGCCGTCAGCCGGGACGCTATGGAAGACAGCAGACTGGCCCGGACGGAGACTGTGATCGATGACTGGGACGAAGATTTCGATCGAGGGAAGGTATGGTGTGTGGCCACGGCTGTGGCCTGAAGGTCAGAGGCAGAGGGGACGTAGGGAGTGTCACAGAGTGGTTGCCACTTGGCCTGTGTTCAAATCCCAGCGCTGCTGTTAAGTGGTCACATGACCCTGCACATTTGCTGCTGGTTCCCATCGCTTCAGCTCCTCCACCCGGCAGGGCAGCCAGGGCAGCCCCTCGCAGTTACCTGCCGTGCTCAGGAGAGTACAAGCACAGGCGCCCACAAACCAGCCCAGTGCTGCTGGTCCCCACCCCCGACGACTGTGGGAGCAGACTGCCGCCGCCTTGTCCCGCGCCGCAGCTGGTGGGGACAACTGCTGACTTCCGGGGTTGGCAGCTGAATAGGCAGCCACTGCACCAGCACTGTCCTCGAGGAGGGGCAGCATGTCCCCTTGTTGGCTCCCTAACACTGTGGTTCTCGGTGCAGGAAAAGAAGGTGAAAAAGTTCAAGAGAGAGAAGAGGAGAAACTACAATGCCTTCCAGAAACTTCAGAGCAGACGGAACTTCTGGTCCGTGACTCACCCGGCGAAGGCCAGCAGCCTCAGCTCCCGTCTCTGAGATGGCCTCCAGGGAGGTCAGTTTAGGGGTGGACGTGTGTGTGTGCGCGCGCGCACGTCGTGGTCACATGCATGAGAGGGCCCTGGGGCGCTTTCCATCTGCACTGGGCACTTGGTCATTCCCAGAGTGGAGGCGTGCTCGAGCGAATGGACTTCTGGGGCCTTCCCACTGTCTGTCTGTGCACACAACGTCCTGGAGAAAAGCCAGCAATACTTCCTGGAGCCGTCCCATCCTCTGGACTCGATGAAGTGGCCTTGTTGGGACTCTGGTGGCCTGTCCCTGCCCCCCGGCGTGGTTCAGCCTGCTGCCGTGTGTGGACCCCGAGAGTGAGTGGCAGCTTACACGGCTAAGCGGGGACCGTGGGGTGAGGGCCTGCTGCTGACAGAGGAACCCTGAGAGCAGCACAAGGGCGCCTCGTGTGCAAGCTCGGACCCCGGCTGGGGCTTCGCCCTGCGACGCTCGGGGTCCGTATGCACTCGCTCGCCTGCTGCACTGACTGGACTGACCTGTGGCGGTCAGTTCCCAGGTACCCACACTGCCTGCCTGCCCGTGCCCATCCTCCTCGGGCAGAGACTCCGCTTGCCGCCTCTGAGAGTCGGGAGCCGTGGCCCGCCCGACCCCTTCCTGCTCTGGACTTGGAGTGTGGCCCCGTCATGCGTCCTCTCCTCATCCTGTGTTCTGGAGGCCCCTTGACCTCTGCGCCAGCCCATCTGCTTCTCAGACTCCTCGTGGGCGCCTTGCGGCAGCAGCAGACTCTGCCGAGGTGGGGGATTGAGGACGGAGTCCTCCTGCTTGTCACCTCCCGTCTCCGAACAGGCTCCTGCCGGCGTGCCGCTCCCTCCCGCCTGCCCCTGCGGCTGTGGCTGCTTTCTGAGCGCTTCTGGACTCCGGTGATTGTATAATGCAAGAAGATTATTTTTTTTATCTTGCTCAAGCTGTGCCTGCAAACTTGTCATTTAATAAACACGGGAAACTCTCAGATGATGTTTTCAGGAAAAAAGAAGGGGAAGTGAATCTGGGAATGACCCCTGTGGGGTTAAGGACCTATGCTTCCATTCAGGGTGTCAGTCAGCGAGGTGAAGTTGGTTTGGGACGTGGTTGTTGTCCGTACCTTGCCCCCATGCCCCCAAACCACCTTCCCCCTAGCTCCCTGCTGCCTGACTCTGGGCCATGGTGGGCCCGGAGCTGTGTGAGGAGGCGCTTTCCTTCCTGTGGGAGGTCACCTTCAGCTCCTCACGTGTGGTTCTTGTTCTTCCTTCCTTCCTCTTCAGAAAAGGAGATTGGTTGGAGGATAGTACTGAGGCCTGGACTGACTGGGGGATTTTTAGCCCCACTTAGGATAAGGGGGTGTCATGGGGCCCGTCTGAGGGCACGTGCACCTGTCCCCAGGCTGACATCCAGGCTCTGTGCCATTGTCAAGGTAGGGTGCCAGAATGCTCCCGGGCAGAGTGGAAGCAGAGGCCTTCTTGGCGGGTCCGTCTCACCTTTGGGGTTGACATTCTTTCCTGTGTGAACCAGCTCATTGCCTGCTTTCCGTCATCTTCCAGGGTCTGTTCACCAGCCCACAGCCCAGCTTCCTCTGAGTCGGTTTCTTCCACCGTCACGGTGACCCTGTTCCCTGGGAAAACATGGCCGTTGCCTCTCAGGCAGAGATGCTCAGGGACCTGATCCTCTGCAAAATCACTGCCTGCGAGCTACAGGCCGGAACGTCTTCACACAACCACTAACCAAACTGCCGAGGGAAGGGAAGGGACACAGTGCAGACAGTAACCCCAACATAGGCTAACTGTGCACACGGAAATACACGTATGTCAGTGACCAGGTCACTCGGTGGACTGACGGCATGAGAGCTGGGTGCAGTCTGACTACGTATGCACAACTCAGTGAAGAGCAGGAGTCTGCAAGCCAGGTTACCTCCCGCAGGGCCCGGCCTCGTCGCATTCCCAGGGGAGGTGAGGCACCACTAACCCATTGTGCAGCCCTGCCCCCCACGCTGCCCGACAGCCCCTGTCCAGACACACAGCACGTGGAGGCCAGCACTCGGGTCGGCCCAGGGAGGCCAGGGTCTCGTCTCCCAGCCTCTGTGTGCCAGGCACAGGTTGTAGGGATTAGTTAGACCCTGGTGCAATAAACAATTTTTGTGATTCTTGCTTATGTCTTTTAAGTGTTCTTTCCCTTGGCTTTGTAAGATGCCGTGCCCAGGTCACAGGAGAGGTGGTCCCTGGCACGCTCGGGGGCTGCTGGGAAGGGGTGCCTTCAGGTCTGCGGGAAGAGACTCCGGCTGGTCTGCCCTAAGTGGAGAATCCAGAGGACGCTTGTTACAGCTCAGTGACCCCCATGAGGGCTGTGGGGGGCACCCAGCGGAGATCACTGGCTGCTGAGCTGTGGCTGGTGGCGGTTTGTTAACTGAGTAATGTCTCCATCTCAGCAGAGACAGGAACCTATTTCTCTGGACTCTGAAGGCTGCATTTTCCAGGGCTCCCCAAGCCTGACTCTCATGTAGGTGTGTGAGTGTGCCAGCAGACACCCAGTTTGGCCCCTGAGCTACCTCGCCAGCCCAGCGGCGTTCCCTGACAGCAGGCTGGAGGCCTTGGTGAGCTCATATGATGGGAACTGGAACTTGGTGTAGACTCAGAAATTTCATTTTGACGCCCAGGAAAGAGTTCTGGGCGCTGGAGTTGTGCTGTGCAGAGGCACCAGGACACAGCCAGCTTCTTGCGATGAGAGATGGAGGTGAGGTGGGGAGAGAACGGTGACCAGGAAGTGGCCTTGTCTCCAGCAGCGTAAGGAGCATGAGAAATTCCTGGAACCTGGAGGCAGCAGGTCTTAGCTGAAGTGAGTCAGCAGCTCTTTCCCGCTTCCTTCAGTAAGTAACTGCAGAACACCCAGTGGTGCCGTCCCAGGTCTCATCTCTGCTGTCTTCTCGGGGATTTGGACCAACAGCACACAGCACAGAGCCCCAAGCATGTGAAGGACCTGCACCTCGAGGAGGGCACAGGCGGCTGGCAGGGCTTGAGGCAGGCTCTTCGGGGCCAGCGGCCTTCCCGTGTTCAGAGGTGGGTGGGGAAGGCAGAGCCCTCGGTGTCTGGGCTTGACTTCCTACTTTGGCTTAGGTACCTGATCTTGCAAAATCACTTAACAAAGCTTTATTCGCAATGTCAAAAAAAACCCAAAAATCTTCACTACTGGACATATAGGTAACATCATGATAGAAAAAAGATTGAGATGTCATCTTACTTGGATCCACAGTCAACAACACCCTTGATACCAGCAGTCAAGAGATCAGGAGATACTGTGCTGGGAAGGTCTGTAGTCAGGGGCCTCTCTAAATTATTGAGGAGTAATGATGTCAGTTTGAAGACTAAGGTGCTCCTGATTCGAGCCATGGTCTTTTCAGTCACTTGATAATTGCATCAAAGAGCTGGACAGTGAATAAGGATGATAGAATTAATGCCTTTGAGCTATACAGTTGGAGAAGAACACGGACTATCCCAGGGACTTCCAGAGGAACAGAGGTTATTCCTAGGAGAGGGACGTCGTGCTGGAAAGGTGGGGGGACGGCAAAGGAGAGGAGGAGCCTTAACCAGGGAGACTGACACAGTGACTGCAGCAGTGGGCTTGACTGTGTCAGAGATTGTGAGGACGGCACAGGACAGGACAGGAGTCAGATCTGTTCATAGGGTCGCTATGACTTGGACTCAACAGCATCTAACAGCAACTTGCTAAACAATTTGGATTGAGTTTGTCAGGCCAGAGTAACGTCCTGAAAAACTCAGAGATTAAGGCAGCCGGAAGGTACCGTCCCCAGCTTGGGGAGCAGCGCTGGGCAGGGATAATACTGAGAATTCTGACTGACCAGCTGTGAAGAGGGGCCAGGACAGTGTCCTGGGAACTGACAGCGTTTGCACGGTGCTGAGCTGGCCTCAGCAGGGCTTCCAGGAAGTGAAAACTCAAAATGTGCTTGTGCACACGGCTGCATGGATCCAGGGCTGACTAAGGCCCCTAACAACTGTTTCCAGTCTCCCTGGCTGGGTCTGGGTACAAGCAAAGACTGTCAGGACGGAGCTTTCAAGCCTGCACCTCAGCAGCTTCCCTGATTGGGAGTTCAGGTCACTTCGTGGTCAGGGAGTTGTGCTATTCACTCAAAACTGGTAGCTCTTTAACGGTTTAAACCCACCAGGCCTCCAAGGAAGAAAGATGGACAATCTCCTCCCAGGCTGTTGACAGCCTATGATTCAGTTCTGACTCGATGACAATTAGTTGAGTTTCCTCAGAAACCCTATAATCACAGAAATGTAACTTGAGTTCTGTGTAGCGCTTGCAGTGAGTTCTCAGACCCAGTAGAGAAGGACTGAGGGCAGTGTTAGGGATGCTGGTCAGAACTGGTAGAGTAGGTAGGGGCATGGGGGTAGGTCTGACCCTGGGAATCAGCCCTGTGCCAATGTTGTCGCTGCTGATGGGACTCTTGTCTCTGGGGAAGTTGGTGGAGCTGCCTGCACCCCACGCCCACTCCGCTTCTCGTGAAGACATGCGGGAGTCTGCCTGGGAGGAGATGGGGCTTTGAGGGAAGTGTTAAAAGGTGAGTAGGAGCCAGATGGGCAGACGCTGGATTAGCCACGGGAACCAGACAGAGCCCAGGGGATACTCAGCTGTAAAGTCTGTCGTGAACCAGTCGCGTCCAGTGTGGAATCCAGCCCGTCCCTTTGGACAGGAGGGCTGCATGGCCTGTCAGAAGTGGCACAGCCTCATGCGAGCGAGCGTGAGTACAGCTGTTCAGACCCGCCTGCCTCTTTGGTCTTCACCACCCGTGGACGACCTCTGAGGGCCGCCGTGGGCTGTGGTCCTTGAGAGGAAGACTAAATCGACCAGAACCAAATCCACTGTAGTTGAGAGTCGGTTCTCACCCATGGCAGCCCCGCTGGACAGGGTAGAACACCCACGGGGTTTCCAAGACTGTAATCATTCTGGACAGGTTTGAACCACCAGCCTTTGGGCTGGCA